GTATAAACCTGAACCTTTTTCATGTAAAACGGTTTTTAAACATATTACCATTAAGGTGGTCAAAACAGTTCGAGATTGGACCAAAACTTTTCTGTCAAGGGCTGATTTTTGAGTTTAAGTTATCCATGTTTGTACACAACACTTGTTTTTTGCTATTTTAAGTGTATAAATCCCAGATCTACAAGTTTACATGTATTATATGTGATAACACATACTTTTATCAAGTTTTCATGTAGATCCAAGTGATAAACTTCATATTCTTAACATATTTTTAGATTTATGAAGTAAATAACACATAATCACCAAATAAATCATGAAAAACACACATATTCAAGCATATACACATAGATCTACACAAAGCAACTTGTATTCTCCCCCAAAACTTAGTAAAAACCGAAAATAGGGGGTATGAACTCACTTTGAGGTTTGGATTCGGTTTTGATGAAGAGATTGAAGAAGATATCGGCTTTAGCAAGCCTCTTGAAGAGGTTTTCGAACTTGGATGGTTCTAAGAACATGATCCACAAAAATATGGGTGTAAGAGGAGATTTTTGAAGAGATCAAGAAGTTAAATAATAGGTCTAAGTAAGAACTTAGCAAAGATGATGATCTTGGAGAAGATTCTCTTGAAGCTACACCCAATATCTCGAAATTTTGGAGGAAAAAGGGGGGTGATCTAGAGAGTGTTTTGAAGATGTTTGAAAGGAAAAATAAGAGAGGTGGGGGAGGGGTTTCGGCCTAGGTTAATAAGAGAAGAGAGATAGATGGTGAGGTGATGTGCATGGAAGACCACCATGCAAAAAATGATGTGTCAAAGCCAAATAAATCCTTCATTTTTTTTTGTTTATATGCATAATGTGGGTTGGGCCGAGATTTGGGCTAGGAAGAAAGAAATTGAGAAGATTTGAGCCATTACTTGAAATTGTTCGAATTCATGAAGCCCAAAAATATATTTTTGGTCCATTGGGCCCTTATTAAGGTTCACGGCCCATTAAATACCTATAAAAAGGGTTTACATCCCATTAATGCAAATGAAACCATTTATGGCCCAACAATACCTATTAGAGATAAAATGGATTATTTTAGGCCCACATGGTCCAAAATGCTAAAGTTTTATAAATGTGGTCCATTTAGAGCCCAATTAGGGTTCCTAGGCCCAAGATAGTCAAGTTGAAGGTTTATTGGTCCATTAGGCTCAATAAGAGAATCCTAGTTCATAATAAACTTGAACCGGAATTTCTAGGGTTTTCAACACATAATTGACTATAAGAGGTGTATTGAGTGAGCATAGAGTATGATATTCATTTAGAGTACAAGTTTTTTTTTACAATGGATGATGATTACATGAGAATATTATTTCCTAGCAAAATGCCAGTTGTGAAATCATCCCTCGTTAGACGGAATTTCGTCCCGAAATTCTTTCGAAAGATAGGTTCATGAATGAGAAAATAGGTGAGGGTACTTCTGCTTCATCTGGTCTTTGCGTTCCCATGTGAATTCCGGTCCACGCTTAGCGTTCCATCGAACCTTCACAATCGGAATGCGGCTCTTCTTCGTACGTTTCACTTTCCTATCCATTATCTCGACTGGTTCGTCGACGAATAGGAGATTCTCGTTTATCTCAATCTCTTCCAAAGGAATGATAAGAGTTTCGTCTGATAGGCACTTTTTCAAATTCAAGACGTGGAACACGGGGTGTACATCGCTGAGCTCCGAAGGTAGTTGCAGTTTATAGGCTACCGGACCAATTCGGGCAAGAATCTCGAACGGTCCGATGTATCGCGGGTTCAGTTTACCCGTTTCCCGAAGCGGATCATTCCTTTCCAGGCAGAAACCTTCAATAGCACTTGATCTCCGACTTGGAATTCCAAAGGTTTTCGTCGTTTGTTAGCGTAACTCTTTTGTCGGTCACGTAATGCTTGGAGTCGGGCTTTGATTTGGATTATCTTCTCTGTAGTCTCTCGAATGATTTCTGGTCCTGCAAGGGTGCTGTCCGATGACTGCCCTTTTGCCAGCTGGGTATCACCCACCTCAGCCCAGCAGAGAGGCGATCTGCATTTGCGACCATATAAGGCCTCAAAAGGAGTAACCCTTATGTTTGTGTGATAGCTGTTGTTGTATGAAAATTCAATCAAGGTCAAGTGGGTATCCCATGACTTGCCAAAACCAGTCACACAGGCTCGAAGCATGTCTGCAAGCGTTTGGATGGTCCGCTCGCTCTGGCCATCGGTTTGAGGGTGGTAAGCAGTGCTCATGTCTAGCTGTGTTCCCATAGCTTTCCGGAGCGACTGTCAAAATCTTGAAATAAATCCACTATCCCGATCCGAGATAATAGATACTGGTACCCCATGAAGTCTCACGATCTCTTTTATATAGGTTCGAGTTAATCTTTCCGTCTTGTATGATTCTTTTATTGGCAGGAAATGGGTAGATTTGGTTAGCCTAATGGCGATCATCCAGTTAGCGCCTAATCCAACTTTTGTAATAATATGCTTTGCCTTTTTGACTTCGAGATTTTTATCCATTCCACGCAGTGCTTCCTTCGCGGTATTCTCCGGCTTCGATGTCTCCCAAGCCGGTTGTAGGTGTTGACTGTGTTTGTTCTTGTTTCGAGAGTAGACGAGTATGTTATCGATGAAAATAATTAAAGGGTTGTCTAAGAATGAGTGGAGAACTCGGTTCGTGGGGTCCATGAATACCACGAGGGCATTCGTCAGACCAAAAGGGCATAACAATGAATTCGTAATGACCGTATCGAGTTCGGAAAGCAGCCTTTGGAATGTCCTCTTCTCGGACTCGAAGTTGATGATAACCAGTTCTTAGATCTATTTTAGAGAAATAACTAGCTCCTTGAAGCTGGTCTAATAGGTCGTCAATAGGAAGTGGGTATCGGTTTTTGACAGTGAGCTTATTCGATTCCCTACAATCGATGCACATTCTGAAGGATCCGTCTTCTTGACGAACAAAACTGGAGCTCCCCAGGGTGAGAAGATTAGTCAAATGAATCCTTTTGCTCAACCATTCTCTTATTTGATTGGATAAATCCTGAATTTTGGCGGGAGCTAACCTGTAGGGTGAATTGGCAATTGATGCGGCTCCCGGTATGAGGTCGATTCGAAATTCCCAATAAGCCAAAAATTTACATTTAAAGCCCAATCATAGTAAAAATAACACTTTTGTCCCCATTTTGTTCAAAACTTGTATTTATGGCTAGTTTTTGGTAAAAATAACATTTTTAACCCATTTCTGTCAAAATATCATTTTTGGCTTGATTTTTGTGAAAATACACATTTTTCTGGTTTTTGACTTCTCTGACCCGGTTGTTGGAAAATTTGTAGAAAAATCATCGTGAGTCGAAATTTGGATCCGTAAACTCTGTAAGTTTGGAAATTTTGTGTACTTTGTTCACAAATTTTTCTCATAATTTTTAATGGCCTCTATCCAGTGTGAAATTGTTCACCTTCACAGGCTGGTCCGAGATTATTTCAAATATGATAGGCAGTTTTGTAAAATTCGCCAAAAATTGTAGAAATATCGTATGAAAACGTGAGAGTAGTCATTTTAAAGGTATACACCTGAACCTTTTTCATGTAAAACATTTTTTTAAAAATATTACCATTAAGGTGATCAAAACAGTTCGAGATTGGACCAAAATTTTTCTGTCAAGGGATGATTTTTGAGTTTAAGTTATCCATGTTTGTACACAACACTTGTTTTGTGCTATTTTAAGTGTATAACTCCCAGATCTACAAGTTTACATGTATTATATGTGATAACACATACTTTTCTCAAGTTTTCATGTAGATCCAAGTGATAAAATTCATATTCTTAACATATTTTTAGATTTATGAAGTAAATAACACATAATCACCAAATAAATCATGAAAAACACACATATTCAAGCATATACACATAGATCTACACAAAGCAACTTGTATTCTCCCCCAAAACTTAGTAAAAACCTAAAATAGGGGGTATGAACTCCCTTTGAGGTTTGGATTCGGTTTTGATGAAGAGATTGAAGAAGATCTCGACTTTAACAAGCCTCTTGAAGAGGTTTTCGAACTTGGATGGTTCTAAGAACATGATCCAAAAAAATAAGGGTGTAAGAGGAGATTTTTGAAGAGATCAAGAAGTTAAATCATAGGTCTAAGTAAGAACTTATCAAAGATGATGATCTTGGAGAAGATTCTCTTGAAGCTACACCCAAAATCTCGAAATTTTGGAGGAAAAAGGGAGGTGATCTAGAGAGTGTTTTGAAGATGTTTGAAAGGAACAATGAGAGAGGTGGGGGAGTGGTTTTGGCCCTAGGTTAATAAGAGAAGAGAGAGAGATGGTGAGGTGATGTGCATGGAAGACCACCATGCAAAAATGATGTGTCAAAGCCAAATAAATCCTTCATTTCATTTTTTTTATATGCATAATGTGGGTTGGGCCGAGATTTCGGCTAGAAAGAAAGAAATTGAGGAGATTTGAGCCTTTACTTGAATTGTTCGAATTCATGATGCCCAAAAATAAATTTCTGGCCCATTAGGCCGTTATTAAGGTTCACGGCCCATTAAATACCTATAAAAAGGGTTTACATCCCATTAATGCAAATGAGACCATTTATGGCCCAACAAGACCTATTAGAGATAAAATGGATTATTTTAGGCCCACATGGTCCAAAATGCTAAATTTTTATAAATGTGGTCCATTTAGACCCCAATTAGGGTTCCTAGGCCCAAGATAGTCAAGTTGAAGGTTTATTGGTCCATTAGGCCCAATAAGAGAATCCTAGTTCATAATAAACTTGAACCGGAGTTTCTAGGGTTTTCAACACATAATTGACTATAAGAGGTGTATTGAGTGAGCATAGACTATGATATTCATTTAGAGTACAAGTTTTTTTACAATGGACGATGAGTACATGAGAATATTATTTCCTAGCAAAATGCCAGTTGTGACATCATCCCCCCGTTAGAGGGAATTTCGTCCCGAAATTCTTTCGAAAGATAGGTTCATGAATGAGAAAATAAGTGAGGGTACTTCTGCTTCATCTGGTCTTTGCGTTCCCATGTGAATTCCGGTCGACGCTTAGCGTTCCATCGAACCTTCACAATCGGAATGCGGCTCTTCTTCGTACGTTTCACTTTCCTATCCAATATCTCGACTGGTTCGTCGACGAATAAGAGATTCTCGTTTATCTCAATCTCTTCCAAAGGAATGACAAGAGTTTCGTCTGATAGACACTTTTTCAAATTCGAGACGTGGAACACGGGTTGTACATTGCTGAGCTCCGAAGGTAGCTGCAGTTTATAGGCTACCGGACGAGTTCGGGCAAGAATCTTGAACGGTCCGATGTATCGCGGATTCAGTTTCCCCATTTCCCGAAGCAGATCATTCCTTTCCAGGGAGAAACCTTCAATAGCACTTGATCTCCGACTTGAAATTCCAGAGGTTTTCGTCGTTTGTTAGCGTAACTCTTTTGTCGGTCACGCGACGCTTGGAGTCGGGCTTTGATTTGGATTATCTTCTCTGTAGTCTCTCGAATGATTTCTGGTCCTGCAAGGGTGCTGTCCGATGACTGCCCTTTTGCCAGCTGGGTATCACCCACCTCAGCCCAGCAGAGAGGCGATCTGCATTTGCGACCATATAAGGCCTCAAAAGGAGTAACCCTTATGTTTGTATGATAGCTGTTGTTGTATGAAAATTCAATCAAGGGCAAGTGGGTATCCCATGACTTGCCAAAACCGGTCACACAGGCTCGAAGCTTGTCTTCAAGTGTTTGGATGGTCCGCTCGCTCTGGCCATCGGTTTGAGGGTGGTAAGCAGTGCTCATGTCTAGCTGTGTTCCTATAGCTTTCCAGAGCGAATGTCAAAATCTTGAAATAAATCCACTATCCTGATCCGAGATAATAGATACTGGTACCCCATAAAGTCTCACAATCTCTTTTATATAGGTTCGAGTTAATCTTTCCGTCTTGTATGATTCCTTTATTGGCAGGAAATGGGTAGATTTGGTTAGCCTAATGGCGATCATCTAGTTAGCGCCTAATCCAACTTTCGTAATAATATGCTTCGCCTTTTTGACTTCGAGATTTTTATCCATTCCACGCAGTGCTTCCTTTGCGGTATTCTCCGGCTTCGATGTCTCCCAAGCCGGTTGTAGGTGTTAACTGTGTTTGTTCTTGTTTCGAGAGTACAGGAGTATGTTATCGATGAAAATAATTAAAGGGTTGTCTAAGAATGAGTGAAGAACTCCGTTCGTGGGGTCCATGAATACCACGAGGGCATTCGTCACACCAAAAGGGCATAACAACGAATTCGTAATGACCGTATCGAGTTCGGAAAGCAGCCTTTGGAATGTCCTCTTATCGGAATCGAAGTTGATGATAACCGGTTCTTAGATCTATTTTAGAGAAATAACTAGCTCCTTGAAGCTGGTCTAATAGGTCGTCAATAGGAACTGGGTATCGGTTTTTGACAGTGAGCTTATTCGATTCCCTACAATCGATGCACATTCTGAAGGATCCGTCTTCTTGATGAACAAAACTGGAGCTCCCCAGGGTGAGAAGATTAGTCTGATGAATCCTTTTGCTCAACCATTCTCTTAATTGACTGGATAATTCCTGAATTTCGGCAGGAGCTAACCTGTAGGGTGAATTGGCAATTGATGCGGCTCCCGGTATGAGGTCGATTCGAAATTCAATCTGTCTTTCTGGGGTATTCCCGGAAGGTCTTCAAGAAATACATCTAGAAATTCGCATGCCACTGGGATGTCTTTAATGTTGATTTCTTCTTTGGCTTTGTCTGCAACATGAGCGAGGAATGCATAATTCTTTTTGTGCAGGCACTTCTGTGCCTTGATGCACGAAATGAGATGAATATTGGCGCCAGGTTTATCATCATAGATTATTAGGGTTTCGTGATTGGGGAGGTGAAGGCGAACGGCCCTCTCGTGGCATATAATATCGGCACGGTGGGGCTTAACCAATCCATGCCGATGATCACATCAAAACTCCTAATATTTAATGGCATCTATTCTATTTGAAATGAATGGTTGTTTATTGCTAATGTGCACCCTAGGTGAACATCTTTGGTTGTTTCGATTTTTCCCATTAGCCATCTCCACCGTGAAGGCTTTGTTTAGCTTATGGGGTTGTTGTTTTAGTAAGTGTTTGAATTTGTTACTAACTAAGCTTCGCTCAGCTCCACTATCGAATAAGATGCAAGCGAAAGTGTTGTTAAGTGGGAACGTACCAGTAACAATAGTCGGGTCTTGAATTGCCTCACCTTGACCTAAGGTCAAAATCGTTCCTGATCCTCCTGTCCCCTGGTTGTTGGCTCTGGGGCAAGCGCGTTTGAAATTACCATGTAACATCCGGATTTCCAGGTACTGTATTTATCTAATTATTATTGAGTTTTGGAGAGGGACTCGGCGAGTAGGCGCTTAGACTCGCCGAGTAGAGTCGCGCATTGTTAGACTGGATTAATGACTGGACTCGGCGAGTCCATACGTGGACTAGGCGAGTCCATGCTGTTTAATGAAACCCTAATTTCTTGGGTTTGGGACCTATTTAAAGGCCCTTAGGGCCGTCACTTGCGGCTACCAAACCCCAGAGAGAAACCCTAAAAGAGCTAGAGCGTTTGTGAGAGGAAAGGAGCCATTTCTTGATCTTTGTGATTGATTCTTGCAAGAAGGAGGTGATTTCAGCTTGGAGGAGACCAAGGAGGTTGTGCATCTGGGGATTTCGAGCAAAAGACTTCATCTTTGAGGTATTATGTTGCCCCTTTATCTGTTTTGTTGAAGGAACCCATAGATGTAGAGTTTTTATGTCTTTTATTGGAAGGAGTTGTGAGAATATGGCCCCTATTCATTTTGAGACGTTGGATCTGGACCCATAGTGGTCTAAAGAGCTTATTCCAGCTTGCTTTATGTTGAACTATGGAGGCAATGAGCTTAGGTTGTTGTGTTTGGGGCTAAATCACCAAGTAAAGCCTCCTAGACGTCACATGAGAGTCAAGATCCAAGCTTTACGTGATTATCAGGCTTGGGAAGGTCAGATCTATGGTTCTAAGGAACAGATCTGACCTCAGGAGGTCATTTGAGTTTGTGCATGACATGAACTCGCCGAGTCCAAGGGCAGACTCGGCGAGTAGGGTTAGGGTTTCCCGTGAATCACTCAGTGAGTGACTTGCCGAGTTGGGGGAATGACTCAGTGAGTCAGAGGGGGAATAGAGGACTCGAGTTCACGACTGAACTCGCCGAGTCACATTTGTGCACTCGGCGAGTCTGGTCAAGAGTTGACCGTTGACTTTTGTTGACTTTTAGGGTTTGGTCAACAATGGAACTTGTGGACTGTTTGAAGGGTAAAATAGCCTTTTAGCCTTCTTAGAGGACATGTGAGAGTCTAGTCTAGCCTAGAGAGTCGTGATTGATTGAGATGATTATGTTATGTGTATAGGCAGAGGCTAGATCAGTATATACACAGGCGGGATATTATCCGAGACATCCGAGGTGAGTCTTCTCACTATACATTACCTAGAGTGGTATTTATGTGTAGACCAGAGGGTCTTTTATGCTATGTGTATGTATGAGATTATGTGCATTGTGTTATATGTATGCTATGTTTTGTATAGACCGGACCGGAGGGTCCAACGATATAGACCGGACCGGAGGGTCCAACGATATAGACCGGACCGGAGGGTCCAACGATATAGACCGGACCGAAGGGTCCAACGATACAGACCGGACCGAAGGGTCCAACGAGCTATGACCGGACCAAAGGGTCCAACGAGCTACGGGACTGGAGGGTCCCGCTGAGACACATCGGACCGGAGGGTCGTATTGTAGCCTCGAGTGGCGTATGTGTGGTATGTGGTATATTGGGGAACTCACTAAGCTTTTATGCTTACAGTTGTTGTGTGATGTGTTTCAGGTACTAGTGAGGATCGCGGGAAGGCGCCGACATGATTCGTACACACGAGAGAGGATTTATTTATATGAGATCTTGGGACATGTTTTGTGATGATACAGAGATTTATTATGATTTTGTGATTTTTATGTGGTGGAAAGTATGTTTTGAAATTCAAAAAGTTGTTTTGAAAAATTGGGTGTTACAAGTTGGTATCAGAGCCTTGGTTTGAGGGATTCGGGTGCACCTTCGGGCGTATCTGAACTCAAACTGAGGATTTGAGAGAATTTCAAAATAAATTCACAAGTTTTTTAAAGAGTAGAATGTTTTGAAAGAGCGAGCAGAAGAGCAGTGTGTACGATCAGCCAGCGCCCGAACGGTGATTTCCCAAAATACCCTTACCTTATGTGTTATGAGATATTATGAGATATTATGCATGCTAGAGTAGGCTAGGTAATCATATTAGGACTAGAGTGGCCTGATTTGTGATGCCTTAGCCTAGAAATGATTTTGCTGCTATGTGATGCTTGAGAGCGAATAGGTAGCAGTGAGGAGCTGTTGAGAGGCCTACCGAAGGGTAGCCTATGCCAGTGAGATATTGTATACTTGTGATCTGGGATCCAAGGAGGAGGACTTAGAGTGAATGCTGATGCGGTGTGGATGGTAGTATAGGGCCCGTACTACTGAAGACACCGGAGCAGCGCGCACCCTAAGTAAGAATCCATTGGGTACTAAGGAGCAAGTAGGGTTGAGTTATCGAGTGCGAGTATACTCGAGCGAGTCTCTGATATCTTGTGTTGTATTTCAGAGAGACATCATGGTTGGGACGCGCCACCGGCCAGGGACTAGCGAGGGGGTTGTGAGCGATGAGGAGCTCCGCCAGATGATTCATGATGAGGTGGCTGCTGCCATCCGCGCTGAGATTCCAGAGATGTTCGGGTCTATCAAGACCACGATGATGGAGGCTTTTGATGAGCGGTACGCCGCTCTTACTGATGCAGCTGTTGCTGCGGCCACCGCAGCCGTTGCTGCTGCCAGGCCGCAGGGGGGTGACTCGTTGCTGTACAGAGAGTTCAGCAACACGAAGCCACCAGAGTTTGATGGGACGCAGGATCGATTGCTGCTATGAGATGGATTACCGATTTGAGGGTTGTTTCTATACCTGCTCGTGTCCAGAGCATCTGAGGGTTCGGTTTGCGCTGAACCAGCTTCGCTTGGGAGCGAAGGACTGGTGGAAGTTTGTGACGGCAGACTTCACTACTGCAGAGCTGACTGCGGTGACCTGGGAGAGGTTCACCACGATGTTTCGAGATGAGTATGTTCCTCCGGTGGAGAGGGAGCGATTGGCTCAGGAGTTCTTGACCCTCAAACAGGGTACTGATTCGGTTACTGTGGTTACCCGGAAGTTTCATGAGAGGGCGATGTTCTGCCCTGAGCAGGTGTCTACTGAGCAGGCACGTATGAGCCGGTACTTGGGTGTTTTGAGGAGGGATATACGGGAGTTCGTGTCGAACTCGACTTACCGGACATTTGCTGAGCTCCAGGAAAATGCCTGGAAGAGGGAGATTGAGCTGGAGACGCAGGACAGGGAGGAGGCCGAGTCTCAGAGGGTGCGACCGGCACAGTCTCAGCCGGCAGCCAAGCGGGCAAAGCCCGCTGATTCGAGATCTGGGGGTCCGAAGGGCCGCATTTGTGGAAAGTGCGGCAAGAGCCACGAGGGGACATGCAGAGCTGGGGTGTGTTATAAGTGTGGGAAGGAGGGGCATTATGCGAGGGACTGCCCCAAGGGATTCACGGTTTGCTTTCATTGCAACCAGACCGGCCATCGGAAGGCCGAGTGCCCACAGCTACTGCAGAGATCAGCGCAGGGATCTGCGCCTGCTGTTCGAGCTACAGAGAGTCGGCCGGCGAAGGCCGAGGCGCC